CCAACCTTGGAGTGAACCAAACATGAATCTGTCCAGACTGATAGCAGTGCTCATCTCTTCTAGAAGCACGGAAACAATGAGTGTAGCCTCGATCTTCATGGCATATCTTATTCCTGTGGTAAATCTGTCAACTGTACCAGATCCATTAATTAATGGTTTCATACCAATTTATACAATTGCATTTACCTTTTGAGAATTTGTTGTCACTGTACATAATAAAACCTTCTCTATTATGCTTTTAACAGGTCAGTTATGGAGCTACTGAATCTGCCATTTCAGGGAAACCTACATTTTCATCTTTCCTACAAACAGTGCATCCCAATGCAGCACTCATTGAAGTGATTTTTAACATTGTACAGCACTTCAGCTGGCACTGGATTGCTTTCCTCATCAGTGATAATGACCTTGGCAAAAATGGCTTGAATTTGTTCAAAAAGAGGATTAAAGATACTGAGATCTGCCTGGGCTACACCCAAAAGCTCAATGACAAAACAATTTACTCTGATGTGCTCCAAAAGATAGAATCACAGGGGACAAATATCATTATTGTTTTTGCTAATGAAATGACAGCTGAAGCTCTCATTGAATCAGCAATAAAACTGAATATCACTGACAAGGTGTGGATAGCAGGGGATACCTGGTCCTTAGATGAGAAGCTCCGCATGAAGAAAGGAATTGAAAATATTGGAACTGTACTTGGGGTTTCTCAGCCTGCAGTGACAATAAATGGTTTCAGAGATTTCATCTATACTTCCAAAAGCCATAATCACTTTGACAATGCAGAACAGCAGAAAAGTTGTAATCAGGTTTGCAACTGCAATGGTGTGAGTGCAGAAGATATCCTTGCTGTGGATTCATCTGTCTCTTTTCCTATTTATTCTGCCGTATATGCCATCGCTCATGCCTTACACAAGACTTTGCAATGTGACCTTGGTAAATGTAACACCAATATGACAGTCTACCCATATATGGTAAGTATACAAATGATTGGATAATTAAATTTTATCCGCATCATTTCTAATCTGAATTTTGACTTGTAGTTGAGTCAGTCATAATTCCTACTACTAATGTGTGTTGTTATCATATCATATATATGACACAACATACATAAAACTTCACACCCTCAAAACGTTAGGAAGGAAATTTCAGAGGAAAGTCTGCAGTGTATCAAATCCCTTCCAAAAAAGAATGGGGCAGGAGCCTAGAAGGGGACACCACGAAGCAACTTTACT